AGAGCCGCCAGTGCCTTCCCATCCAAGATCTGAGGCTGAAAATTTGCAGGCATGTGTGGCCGGCCGAGATCAACGGCCCCACAAAATTTCAGATCCATCCGACCGTCCATCGCAAAGATATGGGCCCCGCAAGATCTCGGAACCTAGGCCAAAATTCCTTCTCCAAAATCCGAGGACTGTGGGTTCCACACGTCCTACACGCAAGCCGCCAACTCGCAGGCCGCCTTGGGCTGAAGGCCCCTCTAACTGTTAACGCCGAAGTTCTCACGCCTAACCATGACAGCCGCTTTCGACGCTCATAACTCATTGATGACTGATTCGTTTCAAGAGATCTTGGTCTCGTTGGAACCAGCTCGTCGAGTTCTTTCCAACGAGACCCGAATCAAGTCAAACCGCTAAGAATTGAAAAAGATATGCCAGTTTTACTGCTTCGCCAAAGGCCTGCAACCGCCGAAGGTGTCCGTCCGCGCATCGGACAAAAGTTGATCTCCCTTCCGCGTAGGCGGAATTCCCGCCGGAGGCGAACTCCTTCCGCCGAAGACGAACGTCTACGTATCTTCCGATAGTCATAATTCCCTAAGTCCTCATCCGTTCCACGCGTTTTTGGGCTCGTTGGAATGAGCGTGTCGAGCTCTTTCCAACGAGACCCTAAGTAACGCAAACCGTTAAGAATTGACAAACTTATGACGGTTTTTACTCTTCCGCCGAAGGCGTTCGCCTATCCGCAGGCGTCCGCGTCCGTCCGCGTCCGTACAAGTTCCAACCCCGAAGGCGCATTTCTAGGTCCGAAGGTGGATTTCCCGCCGACACAGGCGCACAGGCGTTCGCCTGTGCACAGGCGAACTTCGCGCCTACGTCAAAACCCTATTTCGCCTGTGCGCAGGCGAACTTTCCTTGGTCCGCGTATAGGACAAAACTTTCTTCGCCTGGGCGCAGACGGAAAGCCGAGTATCTTACAACCTCCATAACTCCGGGAGTTCTCCTCCGTTCGTGGCGTTCTTGGGCTCGTTAGAATCAGCGCGTCGAGTTCTTTCCAACGAGACACTAACCAAGTCGAGGTGTTGCGAATTGAGAAAGTTATGAGGTATTCACTCTTCCGCCGAATGCACTCTCCCGCATCGCCGAAGGCGTTGACCCGAATGCGTCTACCGCCGAAGGCGCATCTTCTGTCGGTTCTTCCGCCGAAGGCGTACCGTCAAAGGCCCCCCATCAGTAACTTCCGACACTCATAACTCAGTGACCTCTCATCCGTTTCACAAGTTCTTGGGCTCGTTAGAATCAGCGCGTGGAGCTCTTTCCAACAAGACCCGAAGCAATTCAAAGCGTTACAAATTGAGAAAGTTATGAGTGATCTACCGCCGAAGGTGCTCGAAGCGGATCATGCAGCATGAACCGCCCATTCCGTCCCAAGCGTCCCACTGTGGCCTAAGCCCAAAATCCCTTGACTGTCCTTGATCCTCTTTTTACTCTGGTTTCGCGTATCGATTACTATTTACAGCTGCTGCCGCGGTACTTACTATTCAAAAATGTTTTAGTTCCGACAAAAAACAAAAAGTGGGTTACCACACATTCATTTAAAATGTGAAAGCAAAACCAAAGTCATCCAAGCAGACTGGTTTGGATCAATGTCAACTTTCTTCCCCTCTCCCATTATAGGTAAGATACACATTTTTTGATCTTACTTAGAGAGTAGAGGACATTTATTCTTCTATGAAAAGTAATTTTTGACTTTTGTGTAACTATTTTAGCCAGCCTGTTTTCATTAATACGTTTTGAGCACGGACAGACAATGTGCAGTATAAATAATCATACAAGGCGATGGAAAATACATGTTTTTATTGTGGATATATCTTGCGATATAGATAGATAAAACAATTTGAGTGTTATAGAAACATAATTATTATGTTGATACTACTCCGGCTTTACCTTTAGTTACTCATTAGTTTTATCACTCATATTTCCTTGGGTTTGATGGGACTATTCCTATTTTTTATATCCCATTGGCCCTCTTCTTCTGGGGCCAAGGGGATATAAAAAAGGTTGGTACGTTTACAAGTATTAAGCCCACGAAAATGTTAGGACGTGTAACCGTGGAGTTAGTCAAGCTATAACTTTTGCGGTAAGCTGGTACAAATTTCTATCAAAACCCATGGAACTGATGATATTGTTCGTGGAACATTTTGTGTACCATAGGATTAGATCCTTCATCTGAAAGTGGATTGTCTTTGCAATAGTGATTCTGTGCAACTTTTTTCAAGTCTTTTATTCAACCCTATCGCCACATTCGGTTCATGTAAGAAAGCCGCTTTAAGAGATGCGCAGTACAACGTTTGATTTCCATTTTTTAATGACGATATAAGTTGATAGCGTATGTCAGTGTATTAACGCTGAATAGTAACAGAATAGTGGCAGAGAGCGTATGGTTTCTTACATCGAGCTGGGTACGTGATTGCTTTTCCCACTGGAACTGCCTTTGAGTAAGGTTGAACTATGAAAGAAATATTATTTTGCTTGTGTATGAGAGTTTTTACATCAATAGCACATCCCATAAACTTCTACTTAGATAACCCAACGCGAACAGTACGTCATACGATATAGCTTTAGAAACGAATAGGGCATAGACAAAAATAGCACTTTTATAGGCCAAATTTTGCAAATAATTTATAAAGAATGAGCAACTTTAATTTGAGTGTATCCATTCGGAAGGTCAACGCTTTCCCTTTGGATGTTTCATCTTACTGTTCATCTCACTGTATGATATACTAGAGGATTCCTTAATAAACTTCTATATAGAATTCTAAATAAACTCCAGAATGTTTTATCTCTCAGACTCGTTGAATTGTGAGTTGGCTAGGTTTCTAACGTCCTGCTATATACAAGTGATGTTAAGATGAGGAAGGTCGAATGCATCCATTAGACTCTCCAATAATGCATCGGCGAGACCAGAGTAATCAGACGTTGATCAAGCTAGTGTATGCATTTGTTTCGGGGCACTCTGTCCATAACAATGCGAACCCAGTCGATCTAGTATGTTCTCAGTAGGACATCCTTATATGAAGATTCTCAGATATTCATATAAGATTGGTATCTTCAGATCGTTTGGAGTTTTCCAGTGCTGATTGAGCACGACCCAGCTTATCTCAGACAAGAGGCAAACTCTTGCCAATGATAGTAACTAAAAATGGTTCCCGACATATATTTGTAGAATTGTATTCAGTTGACTGCTATGATGAGACTAGATGCTGAATAGATCCCATCTTCAATCAGAATATCCACAAGATCTGTTAGAATCCAAAGAATGTTCCTGATCACTTCAGGACTGAGGTCACAGCCAACGCACTTTGCCCTTAAAACTGTAAACTTGTCTTATATCGCAAGAGAAGAACTTTCACACTTTTGAAGAAGTTATTTCCAGCAATGTTGTAGATATATTCTACAAGAATCTCCGAACAATACACGATCAAGTCTTGTGGATCGTTAAGGGTAATTCGGGAAGAGTAGCCTGCAGTAATGGGGAGTTTTCACCTCTCCTGTGTCTCCCGTCTACTTTTCTAGTCTACATATCGTGAAACTTCGTTTACTAGTTTGGACTGCCTGATTTATGGAATGAATAATTCCAAGGTTCTCCAGAAAATCAAAGTAAATGCTTTTTCGGCCCTTCTAGAGATAAAGTTGAATGTATGCAAACCAAACCTCTTTTTCATGTTTAGATCAATCAAGAGACAATTTGACATCTTCAAAAACGTCTAATGAGGAATGAGGTAGGAAGGATAGTAGTGGGGCCAATTTTGAACAGTCCACGGTAGCTGAGTGAGAAGTCATCAAGTTCAATTGTAGTTTATCCAGGGCTGCGGGCGAATATTTCTGTAGCTTCTACATAAGGGAGATATTTGAATCTATAATCATAGAGTGTTCAGGTTCAGAAAAGCTCGCAATACTTGTAATAGTCAATATATGAAGCCTATGAAGGTTGACAGTGTTCCTTGATATGACAATTGCAGACTCATGAGACCTGACCGGACCTGACCTTTCTCCCATTTCCTCATAAAAAGACACAAAGTCAGATATTTGATTCAGACCGGGACTAGAAGACCATGTCTCAACTACTACAACAGACAGCATAGATTTGACGCTTAGGTCTTGCCTAAAGGTGTTCACTTTTGACACGACCCGCACGTCAAAGTTAAACTTTACAATACTATTTGTCGCCAGCACGTGCCATAATAGGTGAGCACTTGTCGGATTTCGTCAGACTAAATCATATAGAAGTTTTGTGGAACTTCCTATGCAGATCTGCGTTGAGAGGGGTCCTATTTGGAAAGTCCTCACTCTCACCTTTACAACGGAGTCTTATAGTAGAGTCTGTTATTACATATTGTAACGTAAGCCTACTGATCTGAGCTAGAACACATATAATATCTAAGTCAACAGAGGAGCTCCGGGCGGCTGCGCGCACTACGCACAAGTCATCCTCGGTAGAGCTTTATCAGCTGTGTCACTTCCGATCCGGAATGTTAACTAGCTCGAGCCTATTGAGCGTCCAATTGAACAGATAGTAAAATTATGGGCCGAGAAGTAAACTTGTTTTCTTCTCTCACTTTCGCACTTGGTTCGCTTTTCGGCCGAATAAAAGATTTGGGAATTGGGGTATCCTTTTGCATGCACCACTGAGAATTGGAGGTCTCTAGCTCAAACAGTAGGAAGGTGCGTGCATAAAAACTTGCAGAAATATCATAGAGTGCACTTGTTTCTTACGCCAAGCTTCTCCGGCTGCACGTACAACCTCTGCAGTCCTACCTTCCCCCAAAGAGAGTATCGCTCTAGTTTCTTCTATATATAGTTCAGTCTTTCCTCTACATATCATCCGCCTCGTTTCCCTTCTTATGTCCTCTGATAGTGATTTTGAAGTTTGTGCTCTTCCAACCCAGGAGTCTTATACAGACAGAGCCCATCGAGGATTATATCACATTCCTTACAGAGGAATTATCAGAAAGTCCTCAATGGAAAAGGTCCGGCACACTTTGTTTTTCCTGCTTATGGTGACCATGATGGTCGGACGGCCAGTAGCAGCAGCAGACCCTGACATCACAACCGATTTTGGCATCAATGTCACCTCCGGTGCACAGCTCCAGTTCACAGGCTTCAGAAATCTTCCAGAATCGGGCGTCAAGCAGATCGTCATCAATTTCGCCTTTGACACACAGTTCCCTGGAGTGATTGGGCTTGGGATAGCTCCAGCCTTATTGAAATTCGGGCCTTTAGCTCTCAATTCTGTGCACCACCATCCTCGAGCGAGCGAAGTTTTCTACATCATTGACGGAGAGCTAGATGCCGGAGTCGTGGACACCAAGAACAACCTCTTCACAGCTACTCTGAAGAAAGGTGATGTGTTCGTCTTTCCGAAGGGACTCATGCACTTCCAGATCAACCGAAGCAAGACGAAAACAGCCACTGTCATAGCCGTCTTCAACAGCGAAAATGCTGGTCGCGTTAGCTGGCCTCCTACTCTGTTCAATTCCAACCCTCGCATTCCCACCGATATTCTGATGGAGGCTTTCAACCTCGACAAGATGACAGTTGACCGCCTGAAGCTTATTAACTTCCCCAGTGCGTAAATCGAGAGCAAATTATCCAGGCAGCAAAGCAGAGTTGGAAGCTCAATACAGTCGGTGCTTAGTGCACATCATGGTCCCTGTTACTGATGGTAGATGAGACAAAGCAATAATATCTGCATGACGTGCAGAAAGTGGTTAGGTGGTTTATGTCTAGAGGACGTCGTCCAAAGCAGAACATGTTTATAAGGATGAGGATTTCAGTCGTAAGTTCTCCTGTGAACATGAATAAACGGTGTCTAGAACATGTTTGTAGTATAGGATTCACGATGGGTAGTTTAGGCTGTCCACATTGAGTCTGATCAAGAATTGTGATTTCGTAAACATTTATAAATCTTTTGATTCAGATCAAATCGGTTTGCTTTTCTACACTAGTGTCGAAAGGTTGTTTCAACTCCTTGATGGACCACGAGAAATGGGTATGAAAGCATTATTTTTAGAAAAGTCGTACTTTTATACAGGACATATTCTTTCGCACGATGGTTGAGCTCAATCATCTGACTATCAGTCACGTCAGCGATCTAGATGGAAGGGAGTTTACCCGGCCTAACTCAAGTCGATGAAGGTCATTGCAAAAATTATAAGGATGGTCTCACTCCATATGTTTGGTGTTGTGGCTACTGTTCGGAAAAAGTCATACTTCGTGGTCAACTCTGGTTTCAATATTTGTTGATAATCAATAAAATCCCGAGTTGTTGAGCTTTCAAAAAGTAACATGGATCACTGAAACCATGCACATAAACGCAAGTAAGCACCAGGAAGATAGAACAAAGTTCAAAATGTTGAGATTGAAGTTCTCAGCTGCTAGCAATTCCATGTCAGTATGATATGTATCCTACGAAGAGATTCCTTGATGCGTGTCAGTGGAACATGTTTCAGCAGCCAATCACGTCACTTTTCTTACAGTTCTTGCCACAATCTCCGATGGCACTTATAACTTCACATGTATATACACCCAACATATACGCATCGATCCTGATGTATATCTTTAGAAAACATTATAGCTCAAGACCGTCCTACGAGTCAGAACTAAATCATTTGGCATCGCTTACTCGATAAGAGGTCATAAACATAGTTCATGAAATCTCTTCTGCGACTTTTGTTATGAACTTACACTTATCTCCTTATACCGACTCTTCTTCATTGCTTCAGTTTACGTGCACTTCATTTGCACACCAAAACTTGCTAAATATGTTGAGAAGCTGAGCACAAATCTCCTTCTCTATAATTCAAACTTACACGGATCTGATTTCATGTTCGTCAAATCAGCTTTTTAGCAAAGAAGACGGCCAGGGAGAAAATGGATTCAGATGTCCTCATGTATAGGCAGCTTCAAATAGGCAGCTAACGCACCCAATTTGATATGTATAATCTTCATGCGCAAGGTATTTGCGTGCCCTCTCAAGTACATCTTGTATGCACTATGGTGTGTTCTGTCGTCGGGTTACACTCCTGTTCAATTACAGCAGTATTTAAAACTGGTCACAAACTTGGAATCTTCTGTCATTGTGTGGTACCCCACTTTTGGCAATTTTGAGGAAATTAAAACATTTTTGGAAAACTGTACCCTGGCAGCATTGTAAATAGCCTTTGGTACATCAAAACAGAGTGAATCCGGAAGATCGCGGGGATTCTCGAGGGATCTTGTAGAATCTGGAATTTGGGGTGCCGCAGCAAGGACAGGTACCACCCTCCCTGCGAGCTCCGCAGTTAGGATCTCTACGGCGCAAGGCGCAAAACCCGCCTTCGGGGGTTGCGTCCGCGGCTGTAGGGAAACCCCCGTAATTAGGTCAACCCTCGGGCGCCTTGACCAAGTTAGGGTCCCGTTGGAAAGAGCTCGACGCGCTGATTCTAACGAGCCCAAGAACGCTTGGAACGGACGAGGACTTAGGGAGTTATCGCTACTGGAAGAAACGGAGGCGGTCGCCTACGGCGGAAGAAGTTCGCCACCGGCGCGAATTCCGCCTACGCGGAAGGGGGAATCAAGTTTTGTCCTATGCGCGGATGAAGGCGTTCGCCTGTGCACAGGCGAAGTAGGGTTAGGGAAGGCGCGAAGTCCGCCTACGCACAGGCGTTCGCCTGTGCACAGGCACTTCGGCGTCGGCGGAGAATCCGCCTTGGGCCCTAGAAATGCGCCTTGTGAGGTAGAAAGTGTACGGCGCCTTCCGCGCCAGCGCAGCGCCGCGTACGTCGGAAGAGCCGCCAGAGTAATCCAACAGGTACGGACCGTGCGGACGGCACGGGTGGATGCGCTCTTGGACGGACGGAGTTGCGGCGGCGGAAGCGCCGACGGAGAGACAAGGAACGGACAGACTGGACGGAGACGGCTGACCACGGTCAACGCCTTCCGCGCCAGCGCAGCGCCGCGGACGGAATTCGCCTGCGCACAGGCGAACGCCTGTGCACTGAGATTCAGAGAAGGCCGTGGAAGAGACACGGCGTCAAAACAAGAAAACACCAAAAAGAGTACCTAAGCCTAGTTCGGCCGACATCCTTGGGGAACCTACCCCCGACGACTCGGAACCAAACTTGGTGCTTACAGTTCTACTAGATATTCCTTGCACGGACCCGCCTAGTGAAGTAGAACCGACCGCCCGAGAACCGTCGACAGACACACCGATGGCGGACGGACAAGCCAATGTGCGGCTACCTCAGCCGATTACTAAACATTCCTACCCGAAGTACAAAGGGAGTGGGGATGACGACGATGCAGATTCATACATCAAGTTATTCGAGTCGGTGTCTATTGCCAATCGCGAGATCGCAGACGACGACCGACTAAGGATCTTTCCAAGCCTTCTGCGGAAGAAAGCGAGGAGTTGGTACAATCACGAGAGCATCGATCCGACTGGGTTGACAACATGGGCCCAGCTGAAGGAGAAGTTCCTTCGCCGCTTCCGCGAGCTCGGCTACGACAGCCGGGTTTTGACGAAGTTACGTAATTTGCAGCGAGAGAAGAAGGAGAGTCTGCGTGACTACACTCAGAGATTTCTGGACCTCCTCGACAGAATACCGAAAACAGGACCAGGGTCCCCTTTCTCGGTACAACAAGCTGTGGATTGGTACGTGACCGGTTTAACTCGGGAGATGGAGACTTTTTGCCGACGCAGCAAGTGCGACACTATTGAGGATGTGATTGCGTCGGCAGAAGCCTTCGAAACTTCCACTCTCAACCGAAGAGGGAGAGAGAGACGGGAGTCGAAGGAGCGAAAACCGAAGGGAGGGCGGAGACGACGTAGAGGTACAACTCCGTCATCGGAGGAATCGTCTTCGGACGAGAACCGTTCTTCATCCGAAGAAGAGGAAACCTCATCGTCGGAGGAGGAGAAGAAGAGGAAGAAGCATGGGTCAGCGAAGAAAAAGGGCATCCGACGAGTGACTACGGACAGAGCGCCGGGAGATATAGCTTCGAAGATGGAGACCCTTGTGAAGGACTTCGCCGATCTCAAGGTTCAAGTGGTAGGCGGGCATGATCGCAGAAAATCACCCGGGAGAGTGCGAGCGAACTTATGGTGTACTACGTGCGGGGCGGTGGGACATGCAAACACCGAGTGCCTTACCACCCGTCCGTCATATCCAGTCAACGCAGTAGAGTGGGCGCAACCGTACTATGGAGAGCACCCTCAGTACTACGGAGAGGCGAGCGAAGAGACAGCCTACGCCGTCCAGTCGGTTCCTACCCCTCCTGCAGTTTCAGCAATGCAAGTCCCACGATATATTCCGGTGGATCGGGCCACTACGGTACCTGTGAGGCGGAGAGCACCTCCAGGGACGTTTGACCCACCGCCACCGCGAGCTTGTTATAATTGCGGGGAAGTTGGGCACTTCTCACCGCAGTGTCCCCATCCAAAAAGGCGAAACGATTATGCTCCGACATGTAGTAATTGCAAGAAGGTCGGGCACACTGCGCCAGAGTGTGATCAGCCACCAGTCCCTCGGCCAGTGGTACGATTTGTGAACACTCCTGCCAAGGAGGACGTGCAAGTTAACCAGGTCGAAGTAGGTTCAGACGGGGATGGCGAAGACGAAGAATGGCCGGCTGAAGAGGTCATGTGCGCACGGGTCGAAACTCGTAGTTCCAAGAAATCGAAGGAGCAAGAGCGTGACACTCGCAAGCACGAACGGAGACCCGACGACCGGACGGGAAAAGGAAAGGAGAAGACATCCAGCAAGTCCGACTCGCGACCTGCTCGGAAGTCTTCGGCTACGCGGGAGGCACCAGCAGGGCGCCCCCAGACAGCAGTCGAGGACGAGCCAGTGCGCCTACTGAAACGGGACTATGCTCCGGATATCCGCAACGAGGTAGCCAACCTGTTGAAGGAAGCGATCCGCACGCAAAAGGACCCACCGCGGCCAGGCTTGACATCCTCCCTTGGGGCGAAGTTGGCAGCCACCGTGGAACCTCGCAGAGCGTCGCCGACCCCGGCGACCCAACGCGCCCACTATGACTTGGTTGAAGATCTCGGGAGTCGAAAAGTGAACATCACGTTCAAGCAGCTCTTGGAGGACAATAAGACGTATCGGAGAATGTTGATGCTTTCGCTACGGCATCCGCGGAAGCCGCGCGCATCCACATCCTCTCAAGTATATCAAGTGGAGAGCGAAGACCAAGGGCCACCCGAGATCGATGTGGAAATAGCAGGGTGTTGTGTACGCAGAGTGCCAATCGACTCTGGATCAGGAGTCAACATAATGACGGAGGATACAGCGAGAGCCTTGGGGTTCAGTCAATACGAACCCTCGAAGCGTGTGTTGAGATTAGCGGATCAGACGCGGAGAATGCCTGCAGGTATGCTGCGCAATGTCAAGACAACCATCGGGGGTGCAGACTTTCGGTTGACGTATATCATCCTTCAACCGATGATGAAGCAGGGCTATGACGTTCTGCTCGGGCGACCATGGCTATATGGTGCACAAGTCAGATGTGATTGGCGAAGACATCGCCTTAAGTTTCCTCATCCTTCGGAACCGACCAAAACCATTACGGTGCCCTGGAATAGGGT